TGGGGACCCTCTGCAGAGTACCAGAAGTTCAAGAGGGATGTTGTAATTGCTGTTCAGACCCCGGTTTCGGCCATGCAGTGATGTTCCAACTCTTCTCCTGCCTGGGCAAAATACAGATTTCTGAAAGCTTTAAAAATAGCTAGTGGCTGGATAAAGGAAAAGTCAAACCTTTCTTTATCTCTCACTTCACTGAATCATATCTTAATTTGTTGTGTGTTTCCCTGCTGTGAAAGAAACTGTGATTACATTTGCAGACAACATGTGAAGTCAAAAAGAAAGACTTGCACTGCAAAGTAATAAAGGAGGAGGTGAGTGGAGGGAAGTGGAGGAGAGGAGGGGGATAGGACTTGACATAACAAACATTTGAACAGTTTTGGAGTAGATCATCTGAGATTCCCTTATCCTGCCCTGCCAGCACAAGTGAGAACAGCTTTGCACAACTGCAAATCTGCCCTATAAAGATCTGCAGTTAATGAGAGAAAACAGAAACAGCACTGGGACAACTAAGGGACACCCATGCTCGCTGTGATTCTGTTACGCAACTTTTCCTCCACGTAGTATTTTTACAGTAGGGGAGATGAGGATGCAGGAATATGCAACAGAAGGTGTTCATGAAAACCTAAAATTCATGAAGAAATTCAGAGTATGTAAACACTACTGACTGTGTAGGGTGTCACGCTCTTCTGCGCTTCCTAGCTCAGCTTCTGCTTTCAAACAGGCTTTGTTCAGGTTAAACAGCTGTCAGTTGTAATTGTACCTTTTCTCACTCAGGGAGAACTGACCATGACAAGTGACATGGAGAACTTGCAGAATGCCCTCTTCTTGGACATGGTGCCCGAGTCCTGGATAAAGAAGGCTTACCCTTGCACGGCCAGCCTGGGCACATGGTTTGCTGACCTCCTCACTCGCATCAAGGAGCTGGAAGCCTGGACAGGAGACTTTTCCTTACTGTCCTCAGTGTGGCTTGCTGGGTTCTTCAATCCCCAGTCTTTCCTGACAGCCATCATGCAGTCCACAGCCCGAAAGAATGAATGGCCTTTGGACAAGATGATCTTGCAGTGCGATGTGACGAAAAAGAACAGAGAAGATTTTGCCAGTCCTCCCCGGGAAGGGGCGTATGTCCACGGTTTGTTCATGGAGGGTGCGCGCTGGGATGCACTGGTAAGCTCACCAAGGCTCTTGTGTTGAGAGAGCCGTAGATGTTATGCCTGTATTGCTTGGTACTGTACTCTGGGGAACCTCTCAGCCCAGACAGGCGCTCCTTTAAAATAGTCATAGGAGTTGCCTCTTCAGGAATGGGAAAGATGTCAAAGATGGGCCTTGCTGCTGCAGGCTGGAGTGGGTGTCCAAGGTGGTCAGATGAATCACCCCTTGGAGCTGTCTGTTCCATGGCTGTGAAGGGAGTTCAGGGTGGCCAACTTGGACCGGTATGTCTAGTTTTTACAAGGTGAATCTCAACCTCGGTGTACATTGACTGAACAGCGGTGAGTGCTCGTGGTGTTACTACAGAGAGAAGACACGGGTTCCTCTCAGGGCTGTATTGTCTGTGCACCTTCCCATGGTTTTGATTTCACTGCTGCCTCCAAAAGTGACAGGGCAGACTTTTGCGGTGTCACTCCTCTGTTGCCTGTTTAGCAGCAGTGGGGAGAAAGGAAAGGACTCCGATTTCCTACATCTTCACATCCCCAGAGCTGAATGAGTGGGATGTGTGAATTCCGGACCACTGTCCTTCCACTGTGGAGTGCTGCAGGATGTAATCTGCATAGATAGGGTTTGTGACCGAAAATTAATCACATCCTTTAGCCATGACCTTAGGGTGCCAAATAAACTGGCATGAAAGTCAAACCTTTATGGTCAATGCAGACTCAGGCTGACGACTCAGCAGGGGGAGGTGGGGGGTAGGCTGATCCTGGATGAACAGGGCAGCGTGGGTGGCACTCGCTCTTCTTCTTTCCCCTTCTGGATGTGGCCCAACACCGTTCAGTTGTAGCACAGCCAGTCTCAGGGCAGCCAAGGGGAGAACTGTACCCACCCACCGAGCACCTGAAGGGAAGCTCGTACAAGGGCTGTTTCCCGCCCATAGAGCTGTCAGCGCGCCCGTTGCAGTGCACGTCTCAGAGCAGCCTCCCAGAGGAGCACAATTGTCCCTGTCATTCCTTCTGACAGTTATCAGCTGTTGGGAGCGCAGTCTGCAGAACGACAGCCATTAGGCTGACAAATCCCCACTGGGCTTCGTCCTCCGAGCTGCCCAGCCTGTGGTACCACGAATCCCAGTCTGTGCTGTGTGCGAGAATGAAATGGCAGGGGTTCACGTAGCTCCTACTCTGGGCATCCAGTGCGATGCTCCTGCTGCCAGTGTTCTGTGAGAGAGTGAAGGCTGATCAAAGTGTGTCACCCAGAACTCACTTATCTGTGTCAAGTTTACCCTCTTGCAAGAAGCAGCTTTTATTTCAGAAGCAGCTCTTTAGAGCCTTAACCTTGAAGACCCTCCTTTATCTGTTGTGGGGCTTGGTGGCAGGATGCTGAGGAGAGAGGCCCTGCCTGTTACACGCTGTGTGCCAGCTTGACTTTGCAATTCAGATCTAATACTCTCCACTTATTTTTCAGCACCCTCTCTGCAATAGTTTTCCATGAAGGACAGGAAATTAGGCCAAGGTTTGAACTCACCAACTGATGGCATCCAGTGTATTTTATCACAAGTCCTTGGGAAGGTCAGAGCTCCAGGCCGTTTTCTCTCTGGAAATGGGTTGACATGCGCATTTGGTCTGGAAAGCCACAGGCAGTCAGGAACATTGGCAAAGGCTCTGCCAGAAGATTGCAGTAAAGATCTCACATGGGCATAAGGTCAGATCTCCTGACTCTGTGTTTTTGGCTCTGCTAATAGCAGAACTCACAGCAGCAGAACAGAGACCAGCCCAGACCTTTTCCCAAACCTTGGTCCTGCAGTTCCCTGTAGCCTCTGGTGTGACTGCCATACAAAACCCCTTGTCACTCTCAGAGATCATAACCCCTTACGACAGGGAGCACTGGATTTCTGTTACCCTCAAACACTGACATTTTAAGCTGATGCACATCAGCTGGACACAGCAATACAGAGAAAGTTTTAAAAAAAATTCCTTGTCTCGCATATGGAATACTCCATTAAAAACAACCTCCAGTGGCTGCTGTTATGTTTTCCTTTACAATCATTACCACCATTACTAGAAAATATAACAGTCAAAATGGCTAAGTTCTGCCTAGGTTTCACCCGTCCCCAAGTGGTGGTGGAAGTGAAGAGTGAGAAGTTTTGGTGGTGCAAAGCCAGAAATCTTTTGGGAAACACGTGACTTCTCCCCTTTGCCCCCCTCCAATAACCTGTATGGGTGATTGCATTCAGCAATGAGGTTTGTCTTCAGAGACCATCCAGACTTTAGTAAACGTGTTTTTCTCGTTACATTTTCCTTGTGATTGAAAGATACTGAGCAATCGTGTTTATAGAACCATTCATAATATCTGGGTATCACACTTCAATTTATTTCAGAAAGGAAAATCATATGTTGCTGCTCACACTGAAATATCATTTCCACCTAGTGCAACCGTTCATTTTACCTGTAATCCAGCGAGCACCAATATCTATTAATGGGTACAGCATTTTTAAAAGAAGTGCACAGTTGTTATGGGTTGTATACTCCATCCAAATTAATCCTCTGATAGGAATCAGAGATAGGTCATGTTTAGAAGCACTCCTCTGGGGAAGACCTCCACTTTTGAAAGAGTATTTCATACTTAGATTTTGCCTCCAAAAAAGGAAAAAGTCTCTCTATGTTCTGCTACTCACATTTTTCTATTTATTTAAACATTTATGTTTGCCCTTGGGTGTCTTAAATTTATAAAACATTCATTACAAAACAGCAGGCAGCTATTAGATGAAATGAAACCAAGCAGGTTGTTTTGAGTCCAAATGAGCTGTTGCTGCAGCACTGTTAAAAATTGGTGGGACTCAGTGAGAGATAGTTTGTCTGGTGACGCTATGAGACATTTTATCTCAAGCCATGGGAGATTGATGGCTGATTCCTGGCTTTCTTGCTCCCAGCAGTGGAGGGTTTGATGCCAAGCATGTGCCCTGCTGCTCACCAAGGGTACTGGAGCATGACAGGACAAGGGGAGAGGTGGGTTTTGCACCACGTGTGCCACATGGAGCTTTGCCGGGTGTAGACAGCACACCACCTCGTCCTGGGAAGAGCTGCAGTCAGTGCACAGAGCTGAGCAGCGGCTTAACGCTGAGCGTATTGTGCCTCCTTCAAGCCACACCAGCTGTGGTTTCTGTGTACCTTTTAAAGCTAGTCCTACGCAAAGCGCCGGTCTTAAACCAGTGGGGAGGCTCAGAAGGGCGGATCTGTGTGGCAAGGAACAGTCACGTTTATCTGATGGTTCAAGTAGCTCGGTATCTTCGGGGACAGTTGCACACCACTCACGCTGGGATGCTCCCAGCAGTGGATGCAGATGAAAGCAGCTCAGTGTGCAACCCAGCCCTGGCACAGCCCAGTTCTGGTGCTACAGTCCCAAACATCACAGCCCGCCGTGTTCTTCCGCAGAGGCACCAGGTACATCAAACCTCCAGCATCACAGATTGACTTTTTTCCCGGAGGGGTGAGCCGGGACACCATATGAAGCCTTTTCCTGCAGATGTCAGTAATGCCCCTGTATTTGTGAGCGGGAGTAGGGTGTGGCTCAAGCTGAGGTGCCAGTGATAAACTAACAATGCAGCCAGGGAGTGGACACTTGCAAATTGTGCTGTGAACAGCCAAGCTCTTATTTAGGGTTGTTTTGAAAAATTAGTAACTTGGAAAACCCTTTTCCATCTGTATCTCAATTCTTAAACTACTCAATGATAAAAATTCCGCTCTTATTTGGCTTTACTGGGCATCATTAGGTCTTCTTCACTGCGTGCTCCATGGATGGCTCTTTTTGTCGTTCACCATGTCCAGCTGAAGCCACTCGCCCCAGCAATCTCTGGGCCACCTCGGAGTGATGTTCCCTGCTGGCTACACTACTGCTCAGATCACCAGCCTCCCTTCCCTGCAGACAGATGCAATTCTCTCTGAAAGACAATCAAGCCGTGCTGAAGGTCTTGAAGCCAGATGACCCCAAATTAGCTGTGGTGCACGTGTGCTTGTGCTAGTAACACCTCAAAATGCAGCTGAGTGGGAGGGGATATTGGCTTACTGCGTGTGTATTTGGGTCCATCTATTAGCGGTCCCGGCTTGTGCCGGTCCTTTTGTGTCTTTGGACCCATTGATATGTGTCCATTCTTCAAATTGGCTGTTGAGAAGCCAGAAGAAGCAGGAGTGAAGGCGTCTGTGTGATCTGAGGCCTGAGCTCTCTGAGCACAAAACAGAGGCTTTTTACCAGGTGTGCTGTGCCAGTACTTAGGGAAAATTGCTTTCAGAGTAGAATTAATTTCTGATGAAGAGAGCGATAAAAAATGCAAATGCAAATCAGCCCAGACATAACAAAGTGATATGTTCCGCAGAGATACCTCGGGAATATTTCAACTCTTGTTAACCCAGAAATAGGACAAATATATCTTGGAAATTTGATTTGAAGTATTGTCAGCAGTAAAAAAAGAGATCTGATCAAAATCCAGGCTCAGAAATGAAAGATGTGGATTTAAGAAGAGCACACGGTAACATTTGATAAATAGCTTCTTTGCAAGGTATTATAATAATTATTTAATCGGCACGTTGGAAATATAAAATCCTAAATCAGATTTGGATTTATCATAGCTTGGTATTACAGATGGCATTTAGTACAATTAAACTGAGGTATGGTGTAAGAGGGATTACTTTTCTTCACTCATTTGCAGAACTAAAGCGACTATTAGAGAGGTGGAATCTTATCCCAGAACTCTGAGTTAAGAGCATTTGAAATAACGATAAGTGAAGCTAAGCTGCAGTGAGAGGCAGTTTCTTTAGCACTAACATTTATTTCCATTTCTATATTTGTTTTCATTTGGTCTCTCTAGCCTCCATTAAGCGATTTGGGAAACTTTCCTGGAAACTGATTGATGTGTAGGGGATTTTATTGTTAGAAAGAGAAACAGAAGTTGCCGGAGAGACCCTAGTTAGAGAAAGAAGCCATTGATTTAGTGCCCTGAGAGCACACTATCCTTCTCCTGGGTTGGTCAGCCTACTTAACTTGTTGTTTATATGTTATTACAAGTTATTGCTCAACTTGTTATTTATATTATGTGGACTTGTTATTTAATTATAGTAGTCCCTCAGGAACAGTCCTTCTGAATCCCCCTTGCTGGTGTGAGCACCTATGAGAGTGGAAACAAGCCTGTGGTTTTTTTTGGGGCCGCACAAAATACTGCGTGCATTCATTGCCCAGACAAGTGTATCCCAGGTCATGCTCAAATTTTGGTGGTGTGGTGGGACACTTACTTGGTGCCTTTCAGACTCTTCTCAAGTAAGTGTTGTTCTCCATCCCACCCCGTTCAGTGTCCACAACTGCTCCTGGCACAAGCAGCGCTTCCCACAAGGTGGTTCTGGCCTGGCAAAACCTTGAGGTAAGAGCCGCATGAGGGTGATGTGGCTGGATGTAGCCAGGAATGTTGTTCCCCCACAAGGTCTTGCTCAGGTGTGTGTGGGTTTGAGCATCTGATGAGAGCAGGCATCTATACTCTTGGAATAAGCTACACTTGAGGGAGGCTGCTGATGAAACAGGGTAGGTGTTTGATCCAGACCCTCCTTACCTTAGAAGGACTCATCCACCCCCTTGATTTCAGGAAAGATGTTTGCTCTTCTCCAGTAAGACCAGCTTGTATAAACATTACAGAGGATCATGAGTATCAGGCTACAGCTAATGGCTATCTTGGAAATCTAACTAAGACTTTGTCTTCTTTCCTTTGTAGGCTGGGATAATCACAGATGCCAGGCTCAAGGAACTAACCCCAGCCATGCCTGTCATTTTCATCAAAGCCATTCCGGCTGACAAACAAGATATGCGTAGTGTGTACCCATGTCCTGTATACAAAACACGCCAAAGAGGGCCAACTTATGTGTGGACTTTTAACCTTAAAACTAGAGAAAATCCTTCCAAGTGGGTGCTCGCTGGTGTTGCATTGCTGCTACAGATCTAGGCTCACCAGCAGAGCACCTCATTTGCAAATCCCTCACAATGTTTTTCACAGATAATTAAAAAAATAATATCCTGAGATATTCCATCTTTCTAAGTACTGGGCACGTAGCCTAAATAGAGCCTGTGAAGAGGTAACAGAGGTGCAGAAGGACGTGTGGACCAGATTCTTGGCTGCTGTAAGTCAATATCCTGTAACTCCTACAGTGCTGCACTGGAACATCCCAACCTACAGTCAGATCTTCCACACCCAGAGAGTGCTAAGCTTAAATCTGAATTTCATGTTCATTTCCTTTTTGTGATGCAAAGTATTTTTGAAGTCAGTGGTCTTCTCCAAAATCCTTATAGTCCAGTGACCTGTGAAATTCTTCAGACCTTATTCTTTTCTATACATGAGTTTCTTTGTCATTTGTGTGGTGTTGAAAATTGTGAGATCAGGTGTTGTGGACATAAACTGTTTCTTGCTAATATTCCTGTAAATTTTAGAAACACTGAAAATAGTGTTAACATCTAACGTGCTTAATGTAATCAACAGTAAAAATACAGCACGAGGATTATTTAAGAAGAGTATTTCATAATGATAGGAATTTACTAATAAAAATGATTATTCCTGGACTAGTCTCTAAAAACTGCCTGGAGGCCTGCATCACACGTTTACTCACTGTATGGTGAGTGCACGCAGGGTCATGTGGGACAAAGGCAGCCGATGGATTGGATCGTTGCATTTATAATTACAAATGGAGTGGGTGAGAACCGATGTGTTTCTCGAACAGAAAACACAGAGAGGGCTGACTGGGGTGTGCATAATCCTGATGAGCCAGCCAGATAGAGCAGGGCTCTGGGCTGCAGGAGCTGAGCACTTGGGAGCTAGGAAATGTGAGAAGTGGGGTTGGTTGCCTGGGGAAATGGAGCCGTGCCACGCTCTCCGCGCAGCCTGCAGTGCTTGGCTGCACAGCGCAGGGCCCTGCCTCTGTCTAGTATTTGCCGTTTCTCTTCCTCATTTGGTACACAGCGTCCCCCTGCCCCTCACCATGCAAGTAGCTACGGGGTTTTCGCCGGTGGGGTTCACTGCCATCTCTGAGCTCACTGCAGGTGTCAGCTCGCGTGTCGGCGGGGAGGCTGCCCAGGAGGGAAGAGGAAGTTGGCAGATGTGCAGAGGATTTGGTCTTAGTGGAATTAGCACCGATGAGCACACCCAAACTTTTCCACCCGAACCCAGCGACAGGTGACAATCTCACAGCCAGACTCAGGCCTCCAGCAGGGACTGTGACCCTCCTGTGGGAACACTACCAACCCTGTTACACAGATGAATCCCCAAAGTCAATGAACATCTCGACAAACACTGCCTCATCTTGCAAGGTCCCCACTCACCAGAGCTGCCCCTGAACAGGCTCAGGTGTTTAGCACCAGCTGGGGAGAGGGGAGGATCACCAGCCAGCTCTGTTCCCATTGCCTACATGATGGCATTGAAACTTCCAGGATCCTGTTTCCAGGCAGCCGTGGAGTTCATAGGAACCCCCACTCCACAGCCTGGAGAGACCTGCAGGTCTGAGTGAGTAACCTGAAGCTGTCCTGATACCCCATGAGGGACTTGGTCATCCCACCTCATCCTGCAGTGGTTATCAAAGAGAGGTCAGATCCCACTCTGGTTTCCCTGAGCTCACTGTGAAGAAACGGAGTGCTCAGTGCAAGATGTTTAACTGCTAGAGTTCTTAAATGAGGTGAGCTGGGCTTGGTCAGCCTGTGGTATGGCCATGGCAATCATGGGAGAAGGATCTACCTCCAGGTTAGAAATCACGCTTCCCAGCTGAGTTTGGAGCTCAGCATCACAGGAGTCCTTGCACACCAGTAGACAGGAAAGAGTAGTGGGCTGGCGGGGGCAGCGGGTCCCAGGTACCATGTCCTCTGGGTTGCCCAGCAATGCATTTGCACCTGGAACAAGCAGCAGCAGCAGTACGAGACTGTCTATTGGCCTCAAATGCAGATGTGGTGCATGTGCAGTGCTGGGGATGGTGGAGCAGATCTTGGGGGGAAGATGGGTAAGAGCTCACATACAAACCACAAAGGGTATGTGGGGATTACTTGCTGTGTCTTACTGAGCCCACCCTGACCTACCATATGTCACCAAGCCCAACCTGGCCGTTTCAGGAATGCTGCAAAAGGCTCCTCTGAAACCTGGGCCAAGCCTGTTGCTGTGTCTCAATGAGCAGGAGCCTGCCAGCCTCACTTGAGAGCTCTACAGAGAAAGCTTTCCAGAGAGGCCTATAAATCAGAGTTTTCAACAGACTGTTCCTCAGCCAGAACATCCTAAAGAGGAGGGTACGTGTGAAGTCTCCCAACAAACACAAAGCCAAAATCCAGGAAGCAACAGCACTGAAGTCCCTCTCTGAGTTCTGCTGTGCTCTGTGTGTTGCAGTGCCTGGAAGCTTGGGTGTGTTGCATGGTCCTGCTGTGCCCCAAGAAACTCCCAGGAGGCACCACAGTCCCTCCTTTTTTGTCACTATACACCTTGTACTGCCACCCTTCCCTGGCCTGCTGGGAAAAGATCCTGTGTTCGGAGCAGCTCTGTGTAGCCTTACGTGCCATTCGCTTATGGCTTTACCTATTAAATTGTCTTTATCTCGGCCCATGAGTTTTTGCACTTCTACCCTTCCGATTCTCTCCCACATCCTACTGGGAGGGAGGGAGCAAGTGGATGTGTGGTGCTTGGCTGCCTACTGGGGTTAAACCACGACAGCATTTCTGTGGGTGGCGTTTGGTTTCTCAGAGCCTCTTATCAAGCTGGACATCTTTACGGCTGGCCTCAGTGCACACTGATGGGGACATGGTCAACTCTCTGTCAGTCTAGCCTATCGCCTTTCCCCAGCCTACTGTCCTCCTACCCAGAGCAACGCAAAAGGGTAAAGTCCTCAGGCTTTGCAGGAGATCCACAGTAACTCTCTTGGTCTGGGGAACATAGCAGCTGTCTTCCTGCAGGAAAGAGGCGATGCAAAATCCTTGTCTTTGCAGTCCTGGAGAACAACAACCTTCTGGATCAAGGTAAGGTGGGAAAACTTTCTGGTAAGAAGTTTGTTTAATTGCCAGACATCGTCTCCCAAGGCACAGTCCCAAAAAACTCACGATGAAGCAGCCAGTTATGGCTTAGCAAAAGACATCTGCAAATATCTAGCCCAATGGAGAGAGCTGTCTTAAGCTTCTTATTTTAAAATACCTCTTAACCCATAAATGAGGTAACAGAATCTGTAGACTACGCCACATAATGGGTATCTGGCTAGAAATATCTGTTAGCTAGGGAAAGTGATGGCATTAAATTAAATCCTTCCCAATTCAAATTAAAACCTGCCAATTAAATAGGTAATGTAAACCGGTCACTTCCCACAGCTTTGCAAAGTTAGGTGCATTACATTCTCCATGTATTTCACCATGTGGGAGGTTTAGTGGCATAAACAGAGCACCCGTCTTCCTTTTTCCAGCATACTAGGGCCTCTCTGCTTGGTGTTGCCCTCCAACATGTCTTGTACCTACAGGAAAGGGTAAGTTCAGTAATTCCCCAGGCACTACTTGCTCTTTCCAGAGCAATAGCCTGGGCTGTCCTCTTGCCAGCTGAAGAAGAATGGGATGTTGACAACAAAATGGATCCAATTGTTTTATTATATATATCTTCCTGCATAATTCACCAGTTGGGCAGGCGGGGTAGTGGGGAGATATTTATAGATACTAGAAATGTCACCAGGATGCTCATTCTTCATCCTTTGAAAATCATCACAGGAAAGAGTTGGCTGCAAAACGCTACAAGAGGATAGTGAATAATTTGGCACTTTAAGGGGAGAAAAAAATCTGACAGGCGTGAGATTTTCCAGCCGTGTCTGCCTAAACCAGGCAATTAAATACAGCTCGTCAGCCTGTTCGTTAGCAGTGATGCATTAGTCAAAGGTGAACATTTTCTGTTCATGACCTCTTGGAGATAGCTGCCCACTCGGCATTTCCAGCATGCACCTTCCTTCCCGCTCTTTGCCCTTGTTCGCGTGGAAGGGGCTGAGCAGCCAAGGACCCCATCCCCAGAGCCGGCACATCCCAATGCTGAGGCTCCGGGGCTGGTGGGGCTGCAGCACTTTGGATGACATCCAAGGCAGATCTGAGGTTGACCCGGAACAGGGCAGGCAGCTGGGGTGGTCGGGCGGTGCAGCTGCAGCAGCAGGGCAGTAGGGCAGTGGGACAGTTAGGGCAGTTTGGCAGCAGTGGCCCACGTGGTTGCTCATGTTTAGGGAAAGCTGGAGATCCTGGGAAGTGACTTTTCCATCATTGGAACAAGTCTCATGAGACCAGTCTCCAGGCTCAGCCCTGGGGCTGCTCATCTGGCCGACAGACCCCTAAGTCCTAACCCCTCTCCTTCATCCCAGCTTCATCACTCACCTCCCCCGGCCTGCTGCAGCCCCAACCCTTCCTTCTCCACGAAAACCAACACTGGTCATAAATGGAGTAAACACAAAGATTTTAAAAAGCAGGTAAATGTTTCTGGACCAATGCAGAAAAACAAAGACCAAACAGAGTTTCGCTCTTGAAGGCAGAGGAGCCCTGTGGCCATCAGTGTGTTCACACATCACTCTCCAACTAGTGGATCACTGCTTGGAGGACTTGGGATTTAACTGGAGGCTGGGGAAAGTGAGAAGTCAGGATTCCTTATGCACATTTTTTTTAGGCTGACTTTTCTTTCAGACCAAGGTGATCTCTCTCACATTTTACCTCTCCCCACTGACCAGACTATGTCTGCTGCTGCTCGTGTCCTCCCTGAGCACCCACTTCACCCAAGGGTGAGACTCTCCTAAACATCTAGGAAAAAGGCCCTCTGGCCTTTGGCAAACTGATGAGTGCCAGCAGAAACCATGCAGCGAGCCATCCACGGTGGGGCTGAGGACCCAGGTGGTTCATCCTCCAAGTCATCTGATTAAGCTGAGGGACTGGCATTTTCTCCTGGGGAGCAAGTGTTCAGCCCCTCATGGCAGGACACGGTGATTTCAGAGAGTTGGGTGATGCTACTCTCCTGGTTGAAGGAAC